TTAATTAGTTGATGCCACTAAAAACGTGTTCACAAAAATCAATAGAAAAAAATATGTTACAAAAAGAGTTGAGAATTATTTTACATCATTACTTCTACCAGGTTTAACGCCAAAAAAAAAAAAAAGAATTTAAATAAATACTTTCTGCATTTAAAACTGCAAAAAATATTTCACCAAAAAAAAAAAAATAATAATAGTAATAATCCGATACAAATCAAAATTTGACAAACCTTTCAACAACAACAACAAAAACTATAATCTAAGTTTGATCCTTTGCAACACACAGTTCCTGTCACCATATCGCTTACTCTCACTCAAACTCTTTTCTCGTGTACTTTGCACTTCAAATTTCCCTTCTCCAACTATCATTATTTTACCTAATTCTTACCAAAAAGCTTCTTTTTCGCCCAGGTGACAATCAATCTCCTTTTTCTATCAAGAAAAAATGATAAAACTTTTTTTTTTGATAATTATGAAATAAAAAAGATATAATAGTCTTTCTAAAAGCAATTATTCTCTTTCATTATACGGATGTAATTCGATTAATTACTTCTTTTTATACCATACCTAATTGTCAGCTTTCACGTCATTCATTTCATGGCTCCTCAAATGTGCGTCATTAGGAATGATTAGATACAATGATAGAAAACGCTGCAATCTATAGCTTTTAGTCTTTTGACCCTTAGTCATGTCCTTCGGTGACGGAATAGCTTATATTGGTATAGAAGAAAGCTTTCCGCAGCTGCCTTTTCAAACTGACTTGGCCAGCTAAACTTTAGTCCCTGTTCACACGGGCCAGAAAAGTTCAACAGACCAAAGTTTAGCTCGTATTAAATTCTTTTATTCAGCTTGAAATCAGTCAGATGCTTTTTAGAGATTAGCAAAAAAAAAAAAGCAGTGATGTTGTTCTAGCTGATTATCCTCTGATACTTGAGTAGTCTGTGGGAAATAAAAGCAACACGCAAACGATTTCTGATTACTACAAAAATTTTAATAGTTAACAACTATTTTTTAAAACTATAAAATTTAAACGCTTCAAGCCAACAAAGTAGAAATAAAAAAAGAAATTTTTTTTTTCTTGCAGTAAAAACCGATGATTAT